CTCCTTTACATTGCTGCTTCCAGGGCTGCTGGGTTCCCGTGGAGCTGCTCCCTCCCCAGCTTTCAGCAACCAAGGCAATGGGAAAGAGGTGGGCAGGTTTCCAGCGCTAGCCAGTGTTACTTGGCAGCCAGAGAGCGCTAGGCAGGGCTATAGTAAAATAGCACAAACCCCATATTTGGTCTGTCTCCCCCCTCCCTTTTCCCTTCCCAGGCTGTTTTCAGTAGCCTGGGACAGCAGTGGCAGAGTTGGAGCTGCAGCGCTGCCAAGGGACACGTGAGAAAAGCTCTCACTTTCCTATGGAGACAAGCAACACTGATGTGAGAAACAACAGGAAAAAAAAAGAAATGCCAGACCATTAGATCCTAAAAAGGAGCCATGAGCAAAATCTGGGGTGGGCGGAGAACGCATCTCACGCACTACTAGGTCTGGAGAATTAGTCAGCATTATCCATAGCATAGGGATAGAAGCAGCCTGTTATCAGACAGCAGGTTTAAATCAAACAAAAGGAAATAGTTTTGCACACAAGGCACAATGAAATTACCTTGTCAAAGCTGAAAGTTAAATGAGTGCAAAAGAGGATGGGATGAATTCATAAAGAACTGGGGCATCCACAGCTATTAATTATGCAGATCCAGAAGCAATCACTTGATCACAAATTTCCTATGCCTTTGATTGCTAGAAGAGAAGGATCATGCCTGTTTCCTAAATGTCCATCTAAATTGTCACCCAATGTGCAGCTGGAGATGAGCGCCAATGTGCTGCCTGTCTGATCTGACCTAGCATGGCTCTTATTACATTCTAGGAAAACAACGTGCTAATGAAGCTTTAAGCAATTAATAACTTTGGACATGTTAAAAAACACTGATGAAAGCAGAAACAAACAATATAGAACATTAGCTCTTAGAAACAGTGCAGGAAGTAAACAAAGACTTAATTTGGAAAATGCGGCTAATACATCTGGGACGGATCATCCCCCCCCCCCCCAGAGACCTTGAGGCAGTGGGAGAAGGAGGGCAAGCAGGAACGCGCCGTGCCACAGCGGCGAGAGTGAGAGGAATGCGAATGCAAGCCCTGTCCCTCCCATCGCTGTGCGGCTGAGGGTCACGGGCAGCAAGGAGCCGATCCCTCTGGAGCCTGCTGTGGAAAGACTCCACCTGGTGTGTTCGTTTTAATTCTGGCTGTATTGTTTCCAGGAGAAGTCTGGAAAATTTGAGGAAAGTTCAAGCTAAGAGTCATAAGAATGAGCAAACGAGGGAGAGTGTGTGCTGAAAGAAAAATGATGAACCGTGACAAGCATGTTTGCCTTGGCTGAGCTACAGCTGGGGCTGCACGCACAGGCATGCAGCCACATGGCCCCGCAAACGAGGGGCACGGGACCCCCCATCCTTCACCTGTTTTGGGGGGGTGGGGGGGTGGGGGTGCTGTGCCAGCATGATGCCAATGGTGTTGCCTGGGGGAGGGAGAGGTAAAACGAGGACAGAGGACTGCAGACTTCCAGTACACGGCAGGGGAGAACAAGGGGCTTAGGGTGAAGCTAAAACAAGGAAAGATGGGATTTAGGCACTAGCAGCCTTCCCAGGAGTGAGACCACCCTCGTAAGGTGCCTGGCGTCTAGGAAGGACCACAGTGCCTTTCCTTGCCAGGAGGGGATGCTGCCCATCCATCGGGAATGGCATATCTGACCCAGAAGAACAGCAGAGAACTGGCAAGAGAGGAAATCCTATCTCAGGACTTTTCCATGTTTAGTGCCAGAAGCTCTGTTCCACTACTGGTGAGTTCCCATCTTCTGGAAAACATCAGGAAAACTTTTCTGACATCAGTTCAGAAGTCTTTATTTTGATAAGGATACAGAGATCTGTGCGTGCATCAAAACAAAAGATCAATTTCATCTGGGCTGAGGGGCAAAAAGAAAGCACATGGCGTGGGTGGTTGAGACTCCTGTCCTTGGTTCTGTATCCCCCAGCCTCTCCTGAACAGGCTGTTGAGCCCGATGATGCAGCCCCACAGAGCCTGCACGTCCCCCCTGGCACAGAGCATGGGAAGAATTGGGATGCACAAGGAGGGGGCACACATCCAGCTGAGAGCTGCTCTTGGAGAAGCTGGGGAGCCCTGGCCAGCACCAACATTGCAAATCAGCCGCTCACCACAGAGGTGATGGCCCCAATTCTGAGAGCTTTCTTCCAAGTGGAGGCTCCACTGCACTTTGCTGTAGGGCCAGAGAAATCAGCTGTAGCCCATGAACAGAGGGGAGCTGGCCGTGTCAGGGAGGGGAGCAAAGCGTACTAGAGCCTGTGGTGGGGACTGGTTGTTTGCTGCAAGAGGTGAGTGTGCTACCAGGCACCCAGGCTTTCTCTTTTGACCCCTGAAAGTCTCAGTTTCACTGATAGTTTTGCTTCAGACATGACACTTGGGAAAACATGAGAGTTCATGGAAGTCATCAGTCCCAGAGAGACCAGACTGCTCCCTCACCCTGGCAAAAGTATCCCATCCCTCTGCAGGAAACCTTCCCAAAAATGTACCACTCAACATTTGAACCCAAACCAGAGACACTCATCCCACCCTGCTGCAGCATATCTCAGGGCTTCCTGTGGCAAAATGGGAGAGACCAAGCTCTGAAGCTTGGCAGAGCTGATCAGTGAATAAATATTTGCAAGACAAGAACACGTGGTGTTAAAAGATGCTTTAACCTAGAAGAGCAAAACTGTACAGGAGCCAGTGGCTGAAAATTAAAGCCAGAATCTATCAAATTAGAAATAAGGCACAGATAATTATCAGTGAGGCAGATCAACTGCTTTAACAAGAGAAGTGATACCATATTATTACTGGCACATTTGGAAATTCCTCCCACTATCGTATGCATTGGGTGTCTCTGGAACACGCATTTGACTGTGAATACAGCTGGGTCAGATGCAGCACACAAGCAAAGAAATGAATGTTCATTAAACTTGAACTCTTTGACCAAGGATTTTGAGTAGCCTCCATGGATAAAGTCCTGCAACAGCAGGAGAAATGGGAAGAAAAAAATCATATGCTTTTCTGGGAAGGTTCAAGTATAGCCAGTGATACGCAAGGGTCTCACTCTGATAGGATGCCTTCAGTCAACCAGTTCCTGGAGCCTCAGCCTGATCAAGTGATTTTTAAATGACATATCTGGTGTCATCTTTGAAATTCTATTTCTGGAGATACTGACTCATAAATGTGGTCTAAGTTGTAAAGTTTAAACATAATGTAACATACACTTTGTATTTATCTTAGTTTGGGGCCTTTAGGTTGCACTCAAGTCACAGTTACAGCTTTAAAAAATACAAAATCCAAACCAAAAAACAGAAGGAAGGAAGGCAGTTAGGAGTAAGCAAAGCTACCAGCTTATCACCTGACTCCAGAATCAAGAGCTAACAATACTACGGGACTTGCAATAAAGATATAAAACATTGCTATTCTCCCAGGTTCTGTATTTGAACTTCTCCTTTGGCATAAACCCTTACCAGGGACCAGAAGAGCAGGCTGGCACAGGCTTTCTCTTCACACCAGCTTCCACATGGAGTTTCTACATCAATTTCTGAAATGTCCCAATGGATCTGCCAGTTCTAGTATCACAGACACGACTAAGCAGCTTCCAGATCCCTGAGGGGGTCTCAGGAGAGAAATTACCATTCTGCAGGTTTCCACACTGTCCATGAGAATGAAGGATGCACAAGCTCATGCACGGAGCTTCTCCAGGGCGCCCGCTCTGCTATGAAGACTCTGTATGCAAGGAAGGTGGCATAGGATGCGGTGTGTTGCAAGCATGGCTGAATGGGGAGCTGAAGCAGCTCTGATCACGTGCTCCTCCTGCATGCTTTCCATCTGTGACCAAAAACTACTGTTAATCTCTCATCTACCTATCTTTGCTGAAAACAACAGAAGGAAGATTCTGTCTCCAGATGAATTCCAACATTTCATTGTATTTGGAGACAAACCCAAACTGGTCAATGGACAAACAAATGGTGTGTGGCAGTGTCATCTGCGGGTTGATCTGGATCACTTGCTTGGGAGAATATTCTTTGAATAGTACATGTTTCAGTGGAGCCGTGTGGAAGGTGAGGAGGCTGATGTTGAGACAGTGATGGTGTGAGACAGTGGCCATTCTGGACTGCAATGTCTGGGAAAAAAGTCCAAGTTGCAATAGTCCAACTAGACAAAGTGGACCTAGAACTTTCTCTTAGGTGAGCAAACCTGGCCCTGAGATGTATGAATGGGGAACATAAAATATCAATCAAAACCAGACGATATTACTTTTAGCTACACTACTAGCAAGTCTACTACCACTCACTGCTGAAAACTTTGGTGTCCAAATTTCAGAAAAATGTAAAAATTTTCAAAAAAGAGCTACAAGTGAGGTCAGCACAGAGCACTTTACAGATTGAAGATCAATCTATTTAATATGATACAATGATGACTTGCAAGCACCAACAGGGAAAAGGGATTTTGATAGCAGAGAGTTACTCAGTTTTTCTGAAATGGGCAGAACAAGATCCAGCAGAAGCTGAAGCCAGCTAATTCAGAGCAAAAATAAGACAGATTTTTGGAAGAACAAATTAACTACCCAAAGATCTTACCACAAGACAGGGTAGATTTTTTTCCCTTACCTTTAAGTCCTTCAAGATGTAACAGATCCTATTTCCAAGCATGAAATAGAAACAACTGGGGGACATTTTTCCAGCCTGCACTATGCAGAGGGACAGGCTGTGAGAGCATGAAAACCCCGAGCCCTGTGTCTGCTTACCTAATGGAAAAGGCTTTATTGGGGTTGTACATCCTGATCCCTTCCATGCCTTCTACAGCTTTGCCTGGAGAAACAAGTGAAGGTGTGTGTTTGCCATGCCTTTCTCTCCACAACATCTGCTTTCTTTTGGCCTCCAGCACTTACAGGTCATTAGGAGAAGAGATTTTGTGGGAGGTAGACAGGCACCAGTGGTTTCCAAGTGTTTTCATAAAAATGGATTTCTGACTTACCTTTATTTTTTTTTTTTTTTGACCAAGGAATGGAAAATGGAAGTGATTCATAGACCTGATCAGTGGCATCACCCTAGTTGTGTGCTAGAAGATGGGCTGCAGCATGTGTACTCACAAGCCCTGGGTCTTCTGGTCATGGGATAAGCCTAAGCCATGAGGAAAGAAAGGCAAATTTTCACCGATTTTGCTGGTGGAAAGAGTAGTTCAATCTGTGCATGCTCATGCTGGTTAAAACTGCTGCCAGCTGTCTATTTATAAAGGAATACGACCTAACAAACATCTTCCCTAGATCAGAGGCTGCTGTATGATCAGCACAGTCACACTGGATTGCTTTAGTGGGTGTATACCTATGGGGATGCTGATCACACCAGAGTCCCTGTAGGCATAAGCACTCACTGCTGGTCAAGGATCCTCAGCCAGTATGAGCTGTTCCTACAAAAATCAGCAATGCCTGGCTGGGAACTCATGTCTTGATATACCCTAGGGACATTGGAATGGCTCAGTGTAACAGTGAGCCAGCTTTGGTCCAGCAACATCATCAGGAAGACACAGGAAAGGGGCTTCTTGCCACCTGCAAAAGGAGCAGACAGCCACCAGAGCCCAGCTAAGGGCTGATGGTCACCAGCACACTCAGTTTCTTCATCCTCATCCCTTTTTTTCCCAGAGTGGCATTTGGGAGCCTGGCCAGCCTTCAGGGGCTGGCCAGGTGCAGATGGCCATACCCGGCTGTAGGGCTGTGAGGGCTCAGGGTGCGGGGAGGCAAGCGGAGGTGTGCTGGTGTGGAAAGGGCTCTCGGGAACAGCTTCAGCAGAGGAGGAACAGGATCACCCTGTGTGTGATCGCACCCAAGAGCTCAGTGGGATGTGTGACCCTGAGATTACCCTTGCAGGAGCACTGGCTCCCAAAGATTGCTGCCACTTTTCTCTTTATAATGCTGTGCACAAGGCAAAAAAACAACAAGCAGCAAAGTTTCATTGAATGAAAGTACGACCCATTCAAGAAGGGGACACCCGCTTGTCTGTCCTTGGCAGAGAGAGGTGGTGAGCCTGATGTCCCAATGTCTGTCAGTGCAAGTGTGAGTCAGAAGAAATAAATGCCCTTGTTGTACAGAGTCAGTGGCTTCAGCGAGAGGTGAGAGGGGCTCTGCAGTACAGCTGCTCTGCTGGGGTCTCCTAGCCCTGAGCAGACAGTGTGATGTGGCCCCTCTCCTCCCAGGTCTCTTCCTAAACAATCCCCTTCTGCAGGCACTTGGGCTTGTGGAAGAGAAGCCAGGCAAACAGGAGCACAGACACCAGCACAAGGGAGCACAGCACCATCAGCCCCACGTAACTGCCGTGGGAAAGAGGGGGCACAGCGGGGTCCTCTGCAGAAATCATGTTGGTCAGGTTCAGCATGTAGCCCAGGGTCCAGCCCGCATCACTGCTGCCAATCTGAAATGGGAGAGGAGCAGAATCAGTGCTGAGAGGTGCAGGGGCTGCTTGTGGCATTGCCGGGGCAGTGGTACCCCTGGAGAAAAATGGCTGAGCTGTGCAGCAGAGGTTGCAGTTAGCTGCTGGGTCAGAGCTCCCCCCCCCAAACATACCTTTCCAAGGAAGTGGATCCTTTGCCAGTTCTTTTCAGTGAATTCATAGCCATTTTCCAGGAGAGAGAGGATGTAGGCTCCAGAGAAGCAGTATTCGCTTAGGTACTTTTCTTTTATTTGGTGATATGCTGTCTTCACCTAGGGAAGGAATAAATCACCAGACTGTTAAACACAGCTTCCTGCTGCTCCAGCTTGTGCCTGAGCAAACTCTGCAGGTGCTGAGGGGATCTTTCCCCTCTTGCCTTGGAAGCTACCCCACCTATTTATCCTACATAAAAATAGCAGCAGCTCTTGCAACCCAGCAGCCCCATCCCACTGTCACAAGCACAGCTCACCTCATGCCAAGGCCGGGCACAGAAGCTCTCAATGGTGCTGGCCACTTTGTCCAGGGGAACGGGGCTTTGTTCACTGCTCAGGTTCAAAAAGTTCATCACAAAGTAGAAAGCAGAAAAAGCCTGAAGGAAAAAAAATATTTTAACCTGACTGGGCCTCAGCATGAGCAGGACAACAGAAATCTCAGAAAAGAAAATGGTTTTATTTAGATAGAGGAATAAAAGAAGCAACATCACACAAACAAAAGTAGGTATATTTTCAATGGCAATGTCATTTTGAGGCTTCTCTCAGACCTGATGAGAATGAAGGACCCCAAAAAGAAGGTGGAGGTAGGGACTTCACTGGCCACATCCTGAAGATGTTCAGTATATCCCTCTCCTCTATGCACTGGTGCCAGAGTGGCATACAGTGAACACTGCTTGTCATCACAACCATGATCCCATTTTGGCAACTGAACGAGATGAGCATGCAGCCAATATTACCACGGACAGCAGAGGTGATGGACTGAAAGGACTCTACACAGCCCCATCATATAATCCAAAATCCAGAAAAACAATCTCTGACCATAGCCAATAGCCGATAGGTAGGGGGCAGTTTATGAACAGGGCAAGGGAGTATTAACAGTTTCTCCAGAAAACCTCACAGCTACTGCAGTCTTGCAGCTCTAGGACTGGTGTTTAGTGTGGTGCCACCCATGATGTGTGTTCAGAGCGTGCACTGTCTTCTCATCACATCTGGGAAGCAGACAGGTGAGCTGCCCGATTGGATTCGATAGTGCTCACACACTTCTGGATGAATTTCAGATTTGGTACCACCATTAACCTCAGGGGAAAAGGTCTGCAGTCGTGTATCATGCATGGCCTGCAGCAGGCTCTCCTGCCTGGCCATCAGGAAAGACTGGTAGAAACATGAATCAGTAAATGAAGCACCCCAAGGAAATGCCTACAGGAGATGGGTTAGAATGGGAACAGTGCAGTACTGCTAGGTCAGTATTTATTGGGGTAGCTCTTACATGTGCTGTCCTTACAGCAAGTGCAGCACTATTCTAGTTACATGTCCAGAAAGCCATCTTGTAAATGATTCCCTGTTCCAGCCATGGAGAATACACTCTAGCATTACTTCGAGTTTCTGCTCTTCTGATATTCTGAGTTATAAAGAGTTGAAGAATGTGAAGACTTACCCCAAAATCCCCTTGTAATGGAGGTAGGTATATCCCATTGAAGGAGCAACTAGAGTAAGGACAATTGGTTTTGTTAAAGAGCTTCTGGATGCTTTTTCGGCACTTTTGATAATCCCCTTCTCCCTGTATGTACAGCTGGCTGAAAGGGAATTGCTTTTTCTTGGCTGATGTACAAGGGTTTTTGAAGAGGTCACTTATATTTATTGTCCTCTGATACCCCTGGTGAAAGCACGGATCAAAGAGGCTGCTGTTCTCCATGGTCTGAAAGTAAAATCAATCCAAGCTGTTACACTTCACTCCAGAGTAACACCCTGGGAAAGAGCCACAAGGAAGGGTGACCACAAGGCACTTGTCACAGTACATCACACCAAGATACACACATGAGGATGGTCAAAGTGATGAGGATGGTTTAAGGCACTGGCTGTGATCTGGGAAATGTGGGTACTGCCACAGCCTCCCTGTACGACCCTGGGCAAATTACTTTCAGCCATATTTTGTGAAGCTGCTGTTGGTTTGGGATTCTCAGACATGGTGAATCATTGCCTCCCCCAAGTACTTCAGTTAAGCACAGTACTCCTGCTATCCCATGCGTAAGAATTAAGGCACCTCAAACTGGTAGTACTTTACAAATGTACTTGCCTGTAGGTCCCTGGCCAGTTTCTGCTGCAGAGCCTGGTCCTTCCCATAGCAAAGGAAACTATGTGTGTATACTAGGTAATCCTTGCCATAGAGACGGAAGTAGAGCAGGTTCTCTGGGGACTCAGAATAGACTTCATTTGGTACAAAGGTAATCTGTGTTGAGGCTCCTCCGAGGTCTAGTGCTCCTGATGTCTCACTTATGGATTTCAGTGAATGTAGAAGTTTTGTCCAGCCAGACTTTAAAAAAAAAAACAAAACAACAAAAAAACTCACAAAGCAAAACAGCTTCATCAGGCATGGAGATTTCTTTGGGAGAAAAAAAAAACCCAAAAGAGGAAGACCTATGAGGAGAGAAGCAGAAACACAGAACACAGGAAAGGCAGGAAGACCTGAAGGGTGACACAAGATGAGAGCTGGAACAAGACACAAGAAAGATGCAGGCTCAGAAAAGCAGAAGATGGATCATGTCTGAGTGTTTGCAAGAGGACTAAGAATATGAAAACTAATACAATTGTTATGACAAAAACCAGTCAACTTACTGTTTTACTACTGAGCTTATAAACCATCTGGGAACTAAAGAATCATTGTCAAACTTTGCAGGCACAGAAATATTTTAGGTCAGGAAGTGAGGAGGATGCTGTACCCAAGCAAAGTTATCAAAGACACTAGTGTTTTATTTCAATGCTTTAAGCCTGCCTACAGTGGTACATCCTGACACTTACTGGTATCAGGATGTACTCACAGTAGTGGCTGAGGCAAGATGTGCAGCTTCCTGATATCTGGTAAATGGCTTACAATGGAAGATAGTGCCCATGACACCCTCCTGCAAGGCATGATTTACAAAGTCCTGCAAGCCGATGATTCAAATGCAGACTTGCTGTTCATACAGTACCTGCTTGAAATTGCCCAGCAGGTAGTTAATGGTGATCCATCCATAGGCTCCTTCTTCCTGACCACTGATGATCCTGGCACCCTGGAAGTTGAAAGGAGCTGAGCAGAGAGTCTTCTCTACTGAGGACATGACTTTGTCAGCTGCACTTTTATTCTCCAAGCTGGATGAACAGAAGAAAGGATGGAGTCACTTTGCCTGACGGTTCTCTGCAGCCTATGTGCCTTACTTCTGTAGGCAGGCTGCAACTGCCCACCAAGTGTTAATTATAGCAGAAGAGTCATTCATATGGGTACATCCAGCTCTAACTGGCCACGTCACATTCTGTCACACCTTGGCAGCACAGCTGCCACCAGCTCTGACACTTACAGACTCCACGGCTGAGAGTTGGTACTGGGAGCAGAGATCAGAGCTCTCTTGTTCTCCTGGAGCACATGCCCTGGTAGGGATTGCACCATGGAGATATCTCTTACTCTTCACCATCACCATTAAAGAAGAAATCCATCATACCCTCCTTCGCAGGGAGATTTCCCAGGCAATACATACATAAGATCAGCTCCCTGTCCCACCCATGCAAGAGGTCTGGGGCACCCCCATGAAAATCACTAGTTGGAATTAAAGGAGGATATTATTACAAAGTTACCTTAGCTTTGATGGTCTTAGGACGAGTCAGGGTATGTGGGGACTTGCAGTGTGGTTGGGCTCAAAAATCCTGGGTCAGGCCTAATACCAGACTGTGGGGAATATCTGAGCATCCCCTTGATGTGGGGGATGTCTGAGCATCCCCCGAGTATCAGCTTGGGCACTGCTACCCTCCTGGTGTCTCTGCGCTGCATGTGGATACTGGAGATGATGGAAGGTTTGAGTGATTGGAAGTGGACCTGCTGGGCAAGCAAGGGAAGAGCCCAGGGAGACATGGCCAGAGGCAGAAGGAGGTATCTGGGCAAAACATGAGCTGGCAGCATTTCCAAGGACGTTGCCCAAGAGGCTCCCACTAAGCATCCATGGTGGTCCCAGATGCAGTGCTGCAGGAGAAGGGGACAAGCCATGCAGTACCTGAGAAGCCGCATGCCGGCAGTTGCTCCGAGGTAGATGGGTGTCTCTTGGTGCTGCTTTGAGGGAATCACCTCTTCTGCTTGTCGTAGGCACTGTGCCAGAGAGGGACCTGCCTTCTCCGTGGCATGGGAGTAACCTGAGATCCCAGGGCCTGCAAGAAATAAGGACATTTCACTGCTCAAACTCCTGAGCATAACCCCAGAGTGCTATCATGAGCAGTCATGTTTGATGGTATCACTATCACAGGCAGTAACATCAGATTCAACCACTCCATTTCTAAGGAGTTTTAGAAATCCTGCAGCACCAACTAAGCCCAGTACACGAGGGGACAGCCACAGCAGCCAGCATCTGCCACCTGCTCTCCATGAAGCACACTATGAACTAGCTATGAGGCTGCAAGTGGGACAGATCATTTTCTTAGCATGTTCTGGACATCTGCAGACTCATCTCTGCTTCTGCCTGGGTGTAATCTGGATCTGTGCCTGAAAATCCCTGACCCTTCACTACGCTGCGTCCTCCGGGGGAAAATGCTGTCATCTGTTTGTGTACTGTATGCTCACACTGCAGCACTGAGTGTTTTGCAGCTACTCCTTTTCATCCTAACCCAGAGAAAAATTAATTGTCCCTCCCTGCCATGTGTCCCCTGGTGAATGGACTGCCCCAGGACCAGAGCCTCATGGGCAGCAGTGAAACCCACTCTGTGTTTGCTCTAGGTTGCCATATGCTCAGCGTGCTGCTCATGGCATGGCATGCTGCAGCCCCGAGCAGCTATCACAGCAGCTTGATAACAGCATGACTCTCCCCTGTGCTGCAGACAGGCCCGAAAAGACCTTCGGCAGGCTCTGACAACACCTCTCCTTTCCCCAGAGCAGTGATCCATGGTGGTCTACTCTGCTCCTTGTCACGTGCATCCTTGGACTTCATTTATGCCTTCCTAAACCATACAATATCTACACAGCAATTAAACAGAATAAAAAATAAACCATGACATGCATAAGTTGAGCAACCTTTGCCTGCAAGCTCAGTGCCTAGCTTGCACAGAAGCCTTGAAAAAGAGCAAACCATGCCCTCCTCTCTTGCTGCCTGACATTCATCGGCATTTCAGCAAGTGTGCATACAGACATTTTATTTATTTGAGTACATTCTTTAGTGTAGTTCTTTCCAAAAAGCACTTCCAAACATTCTAAAAGCAAAGGAAAAATCAGATCCAGCTTTCCTCCCAGGAAGGTCAGGTACATCAAACTTCCTGTAGGAAGCAGTGGGATATATATTAGTTCAGAGACATAACACCATTTTCACTATTGGCCTCTTCCTCTAGGTTTCTCCTCCCCCACCCTTGGGTTGCATTATCTCTTCTGTATCCCACGCCCCTTCCACAGCTCCCTTTTCTCCTCTTACCTTCAACTTTACACACCTCCACCTGCTGCACCACCCCAGTGTTGTTCTCCTTCTCTGCTGGCCACTCGTACACATACAGGTTAGTGTGGGACGACCCCGCATCCAGCACAATCCCGTACTGTGGGCAAAACAGAGCCATCATTGCACCCGAGGCACCAAACCAGACAACGCGTGTGCTGGTCTCCACACGCAAGGAGACCAGAAATGGACAGCCTATCTGACAGCTGTGGGAACATGCTGTCATTACTCTTCTCAGTAGTGCTTCAGTGCAAAGTTTCCAAAGGATATGAGCAGAGAAGCAGCAAAACTGGGACTGATTACTTAAGAGATGATCCCCTGTGAAGCCACAGATGTTTTTAGCATGAAGATGTAAAACAAGATGTTGAGATGCCTGGCGTCAGAGGCGTTAGCCAGACCCAGCAAAGGCAGCAACATGTCCTGGAGCAGTATGCATAACTAACCCTCCAGCTTGGCTTGTTTTCCTGTAAGACTCTCGGCTCATAATACCTTAACGTTCTTCGGAAGTGGCTTGTTTTGGGTCACTGCTACAGCAATTAAAGCAATTGCAGCCAAAGTAGAGAGGAATCCCAGGATGAGTAGAATCTTTCTTGTCCAGGACATCTTTGGTTTGGTACCTGTGACTAGAGGAGAAAAAGGATGTTAGTATCCCAGTAGCCCATCTTACCTCACACCCCCAAGGTCTTCAGGCATGTTCCTACAGTTGCTTTCTACTATGAAGCATCTGCCTTTGCCCATCCCTGCTCCATGTCCTCATGCTGGATTTCCTAGAGGCAGAACTCAGCCCTGGTGTCCTGCAGATCTGCTCTCATGGGCGGTGCTACATGTCCATGGGCTGCCCGGTGCTGGGTGGTGATGAAGGAGAACTTTAAGATGCAGCTTATGGTTAGCCTGTCCTTGAGATACCTGCAGGTGACTGAGCAACTGTATAGCAAAAGCGTCTGTATGGGGCAAATACCAACTTCTTCTATAGCTCTGTGTCCTGGTTTGAGTGAGTGGTGCGGGTTTTTGGTAGTACGGAAGTGGGGAGAAGCTTCTTGAAGCTCCCCCGGCTCCAAGTTGGACCTACATCTGCACCACGGCCGGACACACCTCTGCATAACGTATTTAAGAAGGGAAGCTGGGAAGGATGAGTTGGAGTTGTGAGGATAGTTGTGAGAACATCTGTGTGAACACCAAGGTCAGTGGAAGAGAGGGGGATATGGGGGAGGTGTGCTGGAGCGGAGACTCCCCTGTATTCTGTGGTGAGACGGCAGGGCCACCCCACCTGACACCCATGGAGGTCACTGGTGGAGCAGATGCTGATTTGCGGCCTGTGGTGGCCCCATGCTGACCCAGGTGACTGTGCCTGAGAAGACTGGGACCCCATGGGAAGAAGGCCCCGCTGTTGTAGATTGGAGCTGTGAGGGCTGCACCAGGCGGTGGTGACCCACGCGCCTGTGAGAGTGACTCATGTCGGAGACAGTTTGCAGAGGACTGTCTCCTGTGAGAGGGGGACCACTGGATCAGGGGAAGAATGCCAAAGGTTACTCACCTCCCCCGCTCCCTGAGGTGGAAGAAGTGGCAGGACTGACCCACACCCCCATTCCTTGCCCTGCACTGCTGGCGAAAAGACGGTAGAGATATCAGGAGCAAAGCTGAGCCCAGGAAGAAGGAAGGGATGGGGGAAGGTGTTTTCAAGATGTATAGTGCTTCTCATGGTCCTGTCTGTTAAGTGTTGTTAGTGTCTGTATTAGTGTTCTTGTTTTCTTCCCCTAAGGAGTCTGTCTTTTGCCTGTCACTGTAATGGATGTCCTTATCTTGATTCCGGAGCCTTTTGCTTTACTTTCTCCTTCCCAGCACTGAGGGGGAATGGGGAAGTGAGCGAATGTCTGGTGTTCAGCTGCCCTCTAAGCTCAAACCACTGAGCCTTTTGCTTTATTTTCTCCTTCTCAGTGCTGCGGGGAAGGAAGGGAGTAAGCTGCTGTGTGGTGCTCAGGTACCCTCTGAGCTCAAACCGACACTCTGCATTTGGCTTAATAATCCCTGAGAAACTGAAAGAACAGACTGCTAACATATGAACAGCAGAACCTTGTGGAACCCAAAGCTGTGACATTTTGTCCTAGTATACTTTGTGCTTCATTTTTTTTGCAATGTTTATAACAATTTACAACATCCTCATCACTTGTAATGCTTTTAGGAAGTCTAACACTAACATTTCAGTATGTGGCAGTCAGTTCAAGCAACGCTGTCCTACACCTTGGCAACCCTATACAGAAAATAGGATCTGCACTCCACAGGATACTTAAGAAACCAGTGGAGATTTTTTATGTCACTTCTTACAAGACCAGTATAAATTATGAATAGCCTGTATTTGCAGAATTGGCATAACATGGTTAAAAAATCACACACTTTGCAAAACTTGTACCAGCCTGATTCCTGAACTCTTACTGATATATTTGGTATGACCCATCTAACAAATTAAGGTTTTTGTGGCTAAAAAAAACACAGTTAGCAGTAGAATTCTGTTAAAACCCCCCCATTTATGGCTGATGGAAATAATTCACAATCAATATGGTATTTGAGCTTTCAGAACCAATATAAATATACCTGTATTTGTTAGTGGCTAGGATGATGCTGGCTTTTATATTCTCCTGCTTTGGATTCTCCTACATATATCCCATGGTGGAAATCTCACTTTACAACTTAAGCTCAGACAGTTTTGGTATTGTTTAATAAAATACCATTTTACAACACAAAGCTCTAGAAAGGGCATTAGCAGAAGTATTTTCCAGATTATAATCTAGTTGAAATGCAATGTTTATATTGCAATACCTTCAGCACTCTAGGGGACATACCTGCTCCCACTACAACACTGACATCCATTTCTACCCACACTGATGCTTCATACTCAAAAGCACTGATTGTCTGACTGCTCAGATGGGTACTATTTTCTCTTCTCCTTATATACAAATACTCTAGGAGATGTTTAGAAGCACAATACAGGTCATCCAGGGTGACAATACCTCTGTGCCGACAACCACATCAACTATCTTCACTCTCCAAGATGGTGACAGAACCTGCTCTGTATCTGTGTGCCAGAACTGGAGTTCCAGAGTTCATTCTTCAGGTGATGCTGAGTCACTGCTTCAAATCCATCCTAGCACCCCATGTCACAAATGCAAGTATGAAAAGCATTCAAATTCTGAACAGGGTCATCTTCTAACCACTCTTGTTTTACATGAAAGGTGGTCCCAGGCACCAGAACTATACAAATTACTCCAAATCCTAGAATCCAAATCCTAGATTTATTTTCAGAAGTTAGCCCAAGTGAAAAGCAGCAATGCACCTCTGGAAATCTCTTAACTGTAGTCAAATGTCATCTTTCTACCTAGAGAAAATTAAACCTCAAAGTGCCAAGAGAACTTGTTTTAAAGATCTCCCTGCAGTCAAGTCCATTGGAAACCTAATGCTGACATGGATGCCTGTGCTCCCTCTCATCACACTCATGTGTAAATCTGCTGAGGCTAACTGCAAAATGTGGAAGCTTGTTATTGCTCACATTTTGTGAGTGCCTGTTAAAGGCACAGCATGCTTGCCAATATCTCCAAGAATGCAGCTTAAAAAAATAGTCTAGTGCACATACCAGACAGTAGGAGGTAAGAATGCATTTTATACAGCTTTATTCAAAAAGGCCCTGGAATTCATGGCTTGAAGTGATTAGAAACAGCAAATCGTGACAGCTAGGAGACTTTTCTTCTTATTGGAGAGAGAGTAGTTGGCTCAGGTTATGATAGCACTAAGCATGTCTGTTGAACAAAAAATATTTTAACACTAGAAAAATGAATAAAACCAGATGCTATAATGTAAAATTAGCTGCACAGTATAGATATGAAGCTAGCATGCTTGAAAACTGAAATTGCTGCTGACAGTTGCACAGCACATCCACGTAATTCCTGACACCCTTACTCTGAGATCTTGCCTAGAAGCAGTCACTAACACCTTTGTTGGGTGTTTACTGTCATAGGAGCGAAGGATGGGTGACTCTGCAACATTTCTGAGATTTTCAAACTTCCTGTTGCGATGGGTATTGTCTGTCTGCTGTATCTTTTCAGCAGCCACACTCTGAAAGTAGCAGCATTAACAGCAAAGCAGGAACCATTTTCTCACTGTAACGGACCATCTCAATAAACAGCTGTAGAAATCTCTTGTCTGTAGGCAGAGGCATAATGAAAACTCTCTGCATCCCACCTGCAACCTGAAGATTAGTCATTTTTTTCAAAGGCACATTATTTCCTTAACCCTGAACATGACTTTTAGCTCAGTATCATGAGCACTTTTCAGGACTCTGGGCGTTGTAGATATGTGACTTTCCTGCTGTATCCCATACCGGAGCATCCATCTGTGTGAACTCCAATGCTACCAAGTGTTTTGTTGAAATGTTTCATACAAGAAAAGGTACAAAATTGTAAGCATAATCCAGAAGGTGGCCTAGCAAAGCAATAACCTTCCAAACAGCAGTCAAAGTGTACAGACTAGAATACCCGAAGATTTAAAAAAACCCCAAACCAAACCACAACATTGCAAATCCAGATAAAGAATTCAATGTAATTAAAATAAAACTCACCTGCCATTTGCTCAGAGAGATGAGTTATCTGAGTAAGTTCCCTTTTCTGCACACTTGGTTACCTCCATCAGCTCCAGGCATAACTGCAGTTCTGCAGTGGCTAAAGAATTAACCTATTCCCTAGACTTCTCCAGCTCCTTTGCACCCCACACTCTGTCACTAAATGCCATGCAAACACTTCCCCACCAGCTGGGGCAGTACTTGACCCTGTAGCACCTCTGACTGCCAGGTCCCAGGAGTTTTCTTCCACTAGCAGTTTTCCTCGGTTTAAGACTAAGGAGGTATGATTTTCTGTCTCTGTGCCCAGCCAGAACACAAATAGAGACAGATCTCTCCTCTTTCTCCCATATTGCCCACTATAAGTGTTGAAAAAACCATCACGTAAGGCCATAAGTAGATGTAGAAATGATGCTGCTTTTCTTTTTCTCCACCCCAAAACTCAGCTGCCTGGTAATAGAGCCATGCCTACCTGCAGAGGCATTGCTCCAAATGTTGGAGCACAGCCCTGCTGCTCAGACATCTCTGTTTCTAATTTTAGTCTCTTTGTTTTTTTCTAGGGGCTATCACTGGTTTCATCCAGTGATGGGTGCAGGTCTCAGAACATAAACAGATCTAATATCCTGTCTCTGAGTTAGCTATCATACTGAGAATGATGCTGGCAGCCACACCAGCTAACAGCAGGTTTTTTGCAGAAACCCTGTTGCTTTCGGTGAATAACCCCGGAAGGACCACACCAGCGTGGGAGGCAGCTCTTGTGAAGGCAAGGAAGCAGGATTGTCCCCAGTGTCCTCCAGAGCCTCAAGACAAATAGGAAACTGCTCCTCCAGCTGACATCACACTAAGTCACTGGCAGCTCTGCACTCCAGGAGATGTCACTCACAGCCAAGGCTGCCCACGTCCCAACTCCCTTCTCACCAAACAAGGCTTAGCAACAAATGTTAAAAGGAATCAGGCAACCAGCTGCTTTTAGAGATGCAATAAGGAGAGGCTATGGATGGCTTAAGGACTGAAATTAGG